TACTCACACAACTGTTACGGATTTCATTTTCTATCATACACAGAGCATTGCAAGAACAACGTATTGCCGGGCTGATGGAGCTGTTTAAAGCAAGAGCTAGGGCTTGCAGATCTTATTTTGAGTGAGTTAGCTCGCTCAGTTTGAGTTTAAACTTATTTTGAGTTAGCCCCTTGGGGTTGTTCCTCCCTACCCTGAGTGACTACGTACCTGCATAAGCACTTGGCGTGAGAAGACCTCTTGTGATGACCCTGTGCTTGTACATAAGTGAGCCAGGAAAGCTTTCAAACAAGGAAGCAACAGGGCTCATTTTTTCTTATATCAAAGCCAGCACAGGTGCCCAGATGCAGTGTGCCTCAAGATCTCCTGTGTAAGCAGGCAACACTGAGAGCTGCACCATTTTACACTGGTTAATGCTGGGTCAGTAGTGACATCTCCACAGTTAGCCCTGGTTTTATGCTTTACCTTTGACTTGCCCTGCAAACAACAGCGCCTTGCACGGCACACACAGGGATATCCAGAAACATGGGGTAACTGTGGTTTACAGTTCTGGCAATTAATTGCCAGGTGTAGACTTTGCCCAGACCAGCAGGTCTCAGACACTTCTAGGCAGCTTTACTTCCCAACCCTCCGTACCCACCAACTATCACTGTTTGCTGTTCTTTCTTCTCCTCACACAGCACTATAAAGCTGTCCTGGCACCATTTCTCAGCTCCTCCTCTCTGCAGCACTAAACCAGACCTGCCTTTGCCCTTCTGCCACCTGCACTGCTCCATGCTCGAGTCATTCACTTTCCTTGTCCTATTCCCCAAAATCCCTGCTGCTGCCGGAGCTCCAGGCCAGTAGGTCCTGCTGCTTTCAAACAAAGCAGTTTAACTTAAAGTCCTATCTTGAAGTCCCAGCAGCGAAGCACAGGCTGAGGAGAGCTCTGCTACTCCACTGGAGGATGTGTCCTTGGGTGATGGGAGGAAGAAATCCACTGGCAGGGCAAAGCCAGCAGTGTCCAGCAATGAAGATGCTCTTCTCGGGGGGCAAGAATCCATTACCTTCTTCAGCGACAAGGGCAGATGCTCTCCCACCCAAAAACTGAGCTTCCCTTTACATGTATGTTCATAAAATACTGCGGCTTTGGTGAGTGTTTGCTTCAGTAAAGGTTTCTGACACCAGGTGACCCCAGGCACAGGGCTGAGGACACCACACCGACTCCATACCTAGCTCCTTCTCCTTCTCCAGCACGGCGAAGGCGAGCGAGGGGTGCCGCCGGACGAGCTCCCGGGCAGAGGCCAACCCCACGATTCCAGCGCCCACCACCACCACGTCGAAAGTACTGCACGGAGACAGACACGGCCGTCAGCTCACCCGACAGCCGCGGCTGCCCC